CTAGATCACTGGCTATATTGAAAATGCTTATTTTCAATTTGCCGTTATGCCAAGAAACATAGGAGACGTCTAAATTAAGAATTAAAAAAAATTCCAGGGCTCTTCGGTATAAGTGTAAATTTAAAACCCATCCCACGTTGTTGATATTCTAGGTAAGAAACTTGATTCACCAAAAACATTTTGAGTTTGTGTCCTGCTTTTGCATTCTTGCCACAATATGTTTTTGCTCTCTATCGTTTATGACTCCGTGGCCATAATTATTCTTGTTATCAACAGAAGCCATTTTTGTTGCTTTGTAAATAAGTATCTTCTACCTTTTTGTTAAAATACAGATGTTTCTATCATGCAATTGCTCTGCAGTTTGGCAGTCGTTATGATCACACCTACATATTTGTTGTTTAAATTATAAAATCCAACATATTAAAATGCTGCTAACTCGAGTGAGTATTCCATAGATTTTGATTGGACATATCAAAGATCAATAAGATGACACTAAGGAGGTTTTAGTTTTACAGCGAAGTGTTAGTGGTTTGCTGATATTTAAATGTATTCCCAGTGGTAGGTGTTTTCAGAGCATTCTTTTTCTACCTTTTATATAGTGCATTTCCCACAACGAACAGAGTATTTAGCAGTTTGCTGAATCTTAAGTATTTGGAATTAAAATGCACTTTTTTAATTTAACATTAAATAGAATCCTGTCCCTCCCCCATCTCTACCTCCACCCTCCAAAAATAAATAAAGCTTTTCCAAATCTTTTACAATACAAGGCGCTCCCCTCCTGGGAATGAAAAGGATGTGAGAGTCATTTGATGAATTGCTGGCGCTTAAGTGCATCCACATTTTTCAATATGCTTTTTTTTTAAACTGGACTTAAGCTGCCTATATTTAAATGCTGCTTTTGTAAAGATGATGAAGAGAGCAAAGATTTCTATTGGCTTAGTCCTAATCTGTTTGCTTTGTTGTGATTCTTTTTTTTTTTTTTCCTTTCCTTTAACTGTTAACCTATTTATAAATCTAAATCTACATACAAAGGTCATTGGTTGGCTGAACTTAAACCATTTTACTCAGTAAATTTAATTAAGAAAATACAGTGCAACTCATAAGCAAATGAGTTTTTTCCTAGTTTTAAACCAAACCACCCTCTTGAGTGCTGATTGCCTTGCCCGACCCCTGGTGATACAGAAACAGGCAAAATTAAAAAGGACATTAAAGCTTCATTAAATCTGAAACACATTTAGTACAGTGACATATCTGCAGGCCATTTCAGAGAAGATTACATACTCTCTTTTGTAAGTTTCCTAATTTATAATACCTTGACAATAAAAACTGGGGAAATGCAAGTAGATTAATAGACCGGTAGGGGTAAAAGATAGAGAATGGCCCCAGGTCCGTCTGTCTCTGAAACATTCACTCATAGCATATGTGTTCCCTCTTCCCCATAAGGCTTCAGTGTTTATTTTGACTTTTGACAGCCTCATGAAGAACCTGTTCTTCATGCAGCCATATCTGCTAACAGCCCTTTTCCTTTTTTACCTTCTCCTAATTGAACTTGATAAAAGGGTTCTAGGACCTGGCTATATATTTCCTTCTATTTTGCCACAAGACAAATAGTGTGGAGCAAAAGCACTGCAGTTGCATTAAACCTAGAAGGACAGGGACATACATGGAGGGCAGCTGCCTCTCCCGGGGCCTTAAAATGACTGCTTTTGGCACCAGCCTAATAGTGCCACTGCCAGTTTTCACTGGTGCAGAATTGGAATCCTGGGCCCGCTGCTGGAGCAGCCCAGGAGTGACAGTAGGCAAGAGAGGACACGATCGTTCTGCTCTGGTCAAGGGCAAGGAATCATTCTCAGTCTTCTGGCTCCAAAGAGGTCAGAGCTGCAAGATATCTTAGATGCAGTTCTCCCAGGAATGTAGTTGACAGGACTGAGATTTTGTAGGATGTCAGGAAAGTACCCACAAGGCAAAGCCAGTCCCAAGAATGATGAGTTCCCCAGTTCAAGCACTGCCACCTGTTTCCAAGCAGACTGGTACCCAGGGGCTCCCAGCTGACCAGCGTGCACTGAATTTTCTCTCTGTTCTCTTGCATGGTGCTATCTTATAGGGTAAATGAATGCTAGCAGCCATCCTCATTATATTGTACCAGTCATGACAGAGGCCACCAAGTAGATGAGTGCACGGTCCCAAGTTGACCGTGACCTGGCCTCTCCATAGAACAATAATGATTTGAGAATTTGAAGTTTTGTGTTGAAGTGGAAAGAATTCATATTTTTCATTTTATGCCACTTTTTTTAAGTGTTTCATTTCTCATTGCTTATTAGTTCTTCCAACCACAAGAGGCACTGTCCAGTGTTGGTACCAGTCAGCTAATTTAGATTTTAACCACATGTTAGTGGGCAAGTTCTTCTGCCAGTAAGCCATGTGGACAGAGGACAGAGTTCTTCCATAGTCCTCAGTGACATGTTGGACGTTTACCCGAGTGAGTGGCACGGTGCCTGTAGAAAGACTTGAGATAAAATATTCTAAATGTTGTCTACTACTTATTGTTAGCTTTTTTAGATGAGAGCTCCTCCTCTTAGTAGTTTTCTAATTCCAAATGGAAGGACATGCAAACCTTGTAATCGACAGATGAGTGCGATGATAGATGACAGCTTTTTTTGAGCGGTCACTGCCTGTCAGGTCAATACAGAATGGTACAAACGCCTGGCCTACCATCTCTGCTGCAGTAGACCATAGTGACTCCTCCAAGATCATTGTGCACACTCTCCTTGGCCAGGCACATGCATGGCCTGTATTGGGTAAGATTGGTGTAGGGGGGAGTGGAAAACGGAGTCTCTTCCCTTCCCAGTTAAAAACAGTATATAGTGGGGCCCGTGGGTGCCTCGGTTGATTAAGCGTCTGACCCTTGACTTCAGCTCAGGTCACAATCTCACGGTTTGTGAATTTAAGCCCCGCATTGGGCTCTGTGCTGGCAGCATGGAGCCTGCTTGGGATTCCGCCTCCCCCCCTCTCTCTGCACCTCCCCTGCTTCTCTCTCTCTCTCTCAAAATAAATTAAAGTTTATTTTTTTATGTTTATTTATATTTTTGAGAGAAAGACAGATCACAAGTGGGGGAAGGGGCAGAGAGAGAGGGAGACAAGAATCCCAAGCAGGTTCCAGGTTCTGAGCTGTCACAGAGACCAGCATGGGGCTCAGACTCACAAACTGCGAGATCAGGACCTGAGCCGAGTCAGACACTTAACCAACTGAGCCATCCAGATGCCTCCCCGAAAACGCCAGTGTATAGACAACAAACATAATCACACAAAACTGTGAAAGGGAGTTTCACATCCACACTCTCTTTCCATCATACCTTCTTGTGTTGTTTTTGCTGTCCATACTTTATACTAATCTCTTGATTAATGATATTACTAAGTGAATAATGGTAGTATAACTTTATATCTTGAAAATCCGTGAGCTCTAAGAAATGAGTATAAGGTCATGAAACTTCCTAGGCATTGCAAAACACACGCACATACACATATAAAAATATACATCCAAATGAGTGTTGGCCTTTTCAAAGTAGTCACCTTTTAAGTCATATGGTTTATTCCTGTTACATTGCTCTTGCTCAGACTGCTTTTAGATCTTTGAAAATTAACTTCAGCATTTTCATGTCTATCCTTAGTAAGGGTATCTTGTTTATTTATTTTTATTTATTTTTCAGAAGTGGCTTTGGGGTTTGGTAATATTCAGACTTTAGTCAACAAATAATTTACATTTTCAAAAAGCGCAGGGAGCAGAATTTTAAGTCCAAGATAAAATGCAATTCTAGCAAAATGAAGTAGATGTTCTCTTGTTACTTGAAATGATTCTAAACACAATTCCAAAAGAGTTCAAAAATGTTTCCGTGGTGTCTGTGTTTTTTAAATAAATACACAACTTCTCAAGATGTAGAAGAGCAATATAAAATGCCAGAAAGAACCTGGATTAAGTTGCAAGCCTAGGGTCAGGCTCTAGCTTCTCATTAACTGTGTAGAAACTTTTTCAGTGGGGCTCTTGGGTTCTAATCTGTGAAATGGATTGATACTGTCATGGGTTCATTCCAGCTTCACAGTTCCCTGATACAGCGATTCCACTTCGAAAGTAATTACAAATATACAGAGAAGATTTCAGGCCTGAGAATGGGCCACATTATGAAGTTGCAAAGTTTTGCTACTATTTTCTTTAAATATGTTATGGCGTATTTGGTAAATTTGATCTTATTACTTTATATCAACCCTGTTGCTGGTGGAATCATTTGGTTTTTACAGGTGAGAATTCCAAGACCAAAATTAAGTGACTGGCCTAGAAACACATGGCAATTTACAAATCAAGCAAAATTGGAAGGTCTCTAAAGATTCGTGTCCCCAATTTCAGACTTTGACCTATAGTGTTGAATTCCCAGCCTTGAATCGGCCCTTTCCTACTAATGGTAGCTCTTTATTCCTAACAGTAGATAGAAAGTGAATGAAAAAACTAATAAATTGATGAAAATAATGGCAAAAATTTCTATTTCATGTGGCCCATTCCCCATATCCTATAACACTGCGTGTGTACTTGTGACTAAAAACTCTACACAACTAAGGGCTGGGAAACAAGAAGGTGTCTCCATCTTACAGGAGGAGAAACCAACAGTCTCCTCTAGTTTTACATCTCTGTCTCAATGAATATTGTCGCACACATGTGAATGTGAATCATGCCCATAGAGCTGAGAACATTCCTAAGAGAAACCACATAATGGTAATGTTTAGTTGTTAAAATTGGAATATTTTATCAGGGATGCAACATTGCCCATTGAAAACGTCCATTCTAAATACAACTCTTAAGGTAATTACAGCAATAGTTTAGTTCCTGCATCCAAGGTTGTGAGCTTTTTATATTTGCTGGGTACAGTTCTGAAATTTAGTGCTTGTCTGTCTTAAGGAGATCTGCCCTGCATGCAAATCTATAACTAGACAAATATTATTTCCTTTCCCAGCTTGCTCTTGGGAGGTTTCCATATCCCCAGGTAAGATTGTTCATTACTGCCGTTTGCCACTGTGACATTCATTCCTATGTATGAAGGTGCAGGGAGCAATTGTGAACATTTGAGCCACATACAAATAAATCTGTCCTGTTAAATTGAAAAGTGATATCTTAAAGGAGTCATTTAGAAGTCTCTATTGATTTTTGATTTTTTTTAAACACCAGATTTTTTTCTCCTCTTTGTTAAAGGTTGAAAGGCATCATCGCGCTCTTCCTTTGTGTGACATTGGTGGTGTTTTTCCTTATCCTAGCCCAGTGCCATGTGCTCATACTGAGGTTAGAGGAGAGGCACAGCCTTTTCTTGATATACTGTTTGAGCCTTTAGATCCAATTAAAATTATTTCAATTAAAAGGTTGAGATGAAGGGTGAAATATGTGATCTGGATCATTATTTTTGCTAAGCAGATAGGCCCCCAGCTTTATGTGGGTGTGATTCTGAACATACTGTTTTTTAAAAAATTTGCCTCTTGCTGTCCACACTTGTAAGAAAGCAAACTGTCCGTTATGTTACCGTTACTGATGATCATCTTTATAATTTCTTTAAGATTCTTATTTGGAAGGGTGCTGGCACTTAAACTATAAAGGTGTTTTGTGGTTTGAAAATGATTCCCCCGTGTATGTGGGGGGAAATAAGTGAAATGTCTAGAGGGATGAAAAATGAATGGTTTGACTGTTTTCCTCTGGTTGGTGCTCACTGTTTTTCTGGCATCTTGGTCTGTACAGGCCAAAGCGCCTGGAGGCATGTCTGATTTAAAGGTGGTGTTGGTCTCTGCTCTTTAAGCATCTATTAACTTGCTATTATTATGCAAATAAGTGTTGTATTACACATACTAATTTATGCATGGTTAGATTATGCAGATGCATCACAAACATGGTTATTGAATAATAGGATGGGGCTCATTCACTCTGCCATCTTTATAAGCTGTTTTAAGCGAATTCTCCTGGTACCCATGTGGACATTTAAAGACCCTTCACTTGCTGAAATGTCTCTTTTGTATCCTCTTTCTTTTACTGTTAAAGCCGTCAGATAAGTGGGGGAGACATCGCCTAAGTTATTAGGTTCAAGAGTGTTAGACTCACTTTTCAAATCTGCAGGCTTCTTTGTTTAAACATAATCTTTTCCTTAAAGAGGAAATCTAAAATGTAATCGCTTGGCATGCATGCTAGCATTTAGTCAGATTTTAGTGGATACAGGCTTGCTGCTTAGCTCTAGGTAGCCCATCAAATTAAAATCACATTTTCAGGATTTATAGCTCATTAGAATATTTATCTTGGTAAGTCTCTTATCCTGTCGGTAATTTTTAAACAATTCACTGTTTGGCCAATTTATACAATCCCCTAAAATTCTGTAAATGAAGAGACCCTGTTACAGTATATCTCTCAGAGAAGTCTTAGTAGAAAAACCTGTGAGCCATCTCGTAAAAGTGCCAGAGATTGAGAACGTAGCTATGTTCTTGAGATTCCTAATGTGTCGAGTAATTAACCAGTGAGATTTGGTAAGTGATGAGTGTAAGAAACAGATTGCTATTGCGTTTAACGAATGAAGCATTTGAATGCTCTGGTCAGATTTGGGAAGAGGCTGTACACCTTTGCAATTCTGTTTTTTTGAACTGTTTAAGTATATGTGTGTGTACTTGATCAGTCAAGTGGAAGCTGGAAAATTCTAATGTGCTGGGCACCCTTGTTAGCAATAACCTTTATGCCAGAGTCAGAGGGAAAACCGTATTCCTTGAATCGTGATCGGATATTGTCACCGAATTGGGACTTTCATTTGAAATAATAGAAGCAGCTTTGATGCCATCAGGCCTGTTTCCCACGTCTTTCATCAGAAGTTGGTGTGCTTCATTGCTAAAATCAGCAATGACGTCAGGTGGAGTTGGCATCTATTTCACAGGCTTGGCCCTGGAGACTTCAGACTGGGAAAGGGTGCTGTAGCCACACGATACCTGCCCTTCCCTTTGCCCTCAAAGCACGTGGATAACAATGTTTATTTTCATAGTATTCTGACACTGGATTATGAATAACACCTTCTCTTTGGCCCATAGTATCTCATTTGAACCCCCAGCCACTCCGTGAGATGGTGTCCCCTTACATTGGGCAAACAGAATGGTTGATATGTGCACTGTTGAATTGCAGCAGGGTTGCAGTAGGCAGGAGTGAATCACAGACATCGGGATTGGGAGGGATCTCAGACATCATCGAATCAAACCTCTGTACCGTATCTCTGGAAAGCAGACATCCACACTCTGCTTGAACACCTCGGGGGATAGGAAACTCCTTACTTTATAAACAGCCATCCAGTCAAAGCAGTGTTCTGTTTACCAAGCCGAGGACTAACTGCTTCATCCTAATAGTTGCCCACTGATCTGGTCCTTGAACACCTGAAAACCTTTCATATATTCTCATGATCACGTGGCATCCCTTCTGTCAGGGCCAGAGACGGGACCAGGACATCACTACTCTGAACTCAAAGTCAGATCAGGGCATCAAATCCGAGCTCATCACTAGTGGCAAGTTGAGAAGATGGGCCTGTTGGAGAGACCTCTGGACCAAAGGATGAGAATTAGAACCCAGCTCCACCACAAACTGTAGTCACCACAGGCCTTAATTCTTGCTTTGTGACTCCTTGGGGCTTCATTTTCCTAACTCTAGGATGAGGATCCTGATACTTGTCTTTTCTATCTGATGAGAGCAAGTATGCAGATGTAATGGGCTTATGGATAAGGAAACCACTTGCAGAAGTACAGAGGGCCATCCCACTGGCCCTAATGTTGGGCTGTAGCACACAATGAAATTTCTAATAGTCGATCAAAGGTCGCGAAAGGATGTGCTCGGCAACTGCCAGCCACAACTGGAGCAGAGCATAAAATGAGTAGAGAGGAAAGCGGAGAGGAGAGTCTAGCTTTGAGACTTCTACCAACCCGGCCTCAGTGCTGCTTGCTGACAGTGTCGTTAGCATTGCCTCTTCCTGCCGGTGACACCGTGTGTGTTTCCAGTGGGGATGCAGATGAGGGAAGGGTGTCAGGAAGACGTTAGGGAGACTCTCTGGCCTGGGACCAACATAAAAATTAAAGGACTGGATTTTTGTTGAGATAATTATTCTATATAGACTTCATTGTTTTGTGCTTGAGTTTTTATCTGTTATTTGGAAGCACTCTCTAGTTTCGTTTCCTTTAGGCCTTTAAGGTGGAGAGCCTCATTGGCATGCAGTTTAGGACTCTACAGAAAAAAAGTTTAGGAGCCACTCTGAATGCTCAGGCGTGTTAATGTTACTACACCTTATAATAGGAAGAACAACGATGTCGTGGATTCGCGTAACTCTTTTCTGCCATCGAGCTCCAGGTCACGTCCTGTTATCTGACTCGGGCTGCCCATCCCACCTACAGGGGCTATTCTTCCCAACCTCCAGGGGAGCAGACTGAGGCTTGGCGAGGTGAGGCACCTTGCCTCAGGGATGAATGGGTATAGTCAGATAGATGTAGGACTTACAGACAACTAAACCAAATGAGTGGGCTCTGTGTACTCCGAATTTGGTTGGCTGTTTATACTACTCTTCTTCCCGCTGAGCCCCTCCAAGTCCTTTTCCTGATTTGCCTTCTCCACCTTAGGAGGCCTCGTGTGTAGGTGAGAAATGCTGCACGTCGGGGGCCATGCCGTGGTAGATGATGACAAGACCATTCCCTAGAGGCCTTTTGCTTTTCTTACCATGTGATTAGCAGAGTCACAGCAGGATCCAGAGGGCTCCAGAGCTCTCCCTGACCCCAGTGCCATTAAATTCTGGGTGCCTGTGAAGCAACGGGATCATGAAAAATTGTGTTTTTAAACATCTCACAAACGTAGCATATCCATTTCTTGAACGCTTTAGCATTAATAGTAGTCTGGAAAGATGTGCAGGTCTGGACAAGGACTGGAGCTGTGTAGAGCTAATCGTGTAGATCCAAATTCAGTTGACTTAAAAAACATCATGGTGGGCAATGGTTTGTTTAATGACACCATAATTGAGGAGAACTGAAAAAGATTGCCTGCTAAAAATTGTCACCCTTCATTCAAACTTTACAGTAGTGCCCTGCATTGAGACGATAGTAAATCCATTAAGGAGACTTCTCAGGAGGGTGTTCTAGCTCTGACATTTTGGAGATTTGGTAAGCAGGATGCCACAGGAAATTGAAGAAAATACAGATAGATACAAATGTATTTAAAGTACTTTTATATGTATAAAAATGTTGTTGTTCTTTTGGCTACAATTCCTGATCTTGGTTAATAAATTACATCAAAATGACCTGAAGTTAAAAAAAGGAAAAAAATCTGAGCAAATAGTGCCCCTGGTATTGTAAAGCTTTGAATGTTTTCACACCCCATTAATTTATTACTTCTCTTTCTTCATCTTTAAATTTCATTTTTTTTTTCAAAAATTCCGACTCCCCGCTGCTGCAGTGATTTTCATCTTGTTGTTAATTTTCCCTGCTCCATATGGAGCTCCAGACATTTCACCTGGAGGCTGTACTAGATTTTGTTGTAGTGATCGTACTTCCGGAGGCCAAAACTGTCATTTAGGGTTCCTGGTGCATCTGTCTGCGCCAGGCTTTTCACTGGCATGGGAGAGTGTGAATAACAAATTGGATGCACCTGAGATTCAGATGATTAGTGTGTTTTGTGAATCTCCACGACTTGTAAGCAGATAGCTCTGGGGGGGGTGGGAGGGCTAAACAGCGACTGTGGGTGAATCTGTACTCACACCTTACATTTGGGGCTTTGCAAGGGAAGTGCAAACATCCCAGGCAGTCTGAGTGCAGAGAGAGTAACAAATATTTCATCCTGCCTTGTCATTGATTAGAAAAGAGCCTTTAATTTCATTTCACCCCATGTTGTGATTAATTTGCATTCTTTGTCAGAAGTTAATGGAGTTTTTTATGGTTCACTCTGAAATCCTTGAAGACATCAGACTTGATCTGATGTTTATACAACCGCCAGCGGAATTTTTTC